CTGCCGCTCACGATCGCGACTCCGTCATCCGTCACCATCCTCCTCCCTCATTCAGTCCGGAGGGTCCCATGGCCAGGCTTGGCTCTAAGGCTCCAGGACGGAGAAGACCCTCCCCCTGGACACTACACTGTGGTCAAGGGAGGCAGACCAACAGGTCACGTGCAAGGTGACATCAGCGGTGGCCACGGCAATGATGACAAGCGGACCATAGGCCTGGCACAGTGCCCACGCCTGGAACCCCAGCGGCTCTCGAGGCCGAGGCAGGAGGATTGCGAGTTCAAAGCCAGCCTCAGCAACTCAGCGAGGCCCTAAGCAACTCAGTGGGACCCTGTCTCTAAATAAACTATGAAAAAGGGGCTGGGGCTGGGGAGGTGGCCTTGTGGTTAGTGCCTCTGGGTTCAATCCCCACTACCAAAAAGAAAAAAGAAAAGCAAACCCAGGAAGGGAAGAGAGTCTCCGTGGGAGAGGGGACGTCTGCCATACATGAGGGTCAGGAACGGGCTCTCTGACAAGGGAGCCTTTGAGCAGAAACCTGGGTGGTAGGAAGGAGCTGGTCAAGTGGAGGTGGAAGAAGAGCATCCAGACAGAGGAACAAGCAGGTGCAAAGGCCCTGAGGTGGGGAGCAGAGGGAGAGGGAGGATGGAGGAGCTGAAGTCTGTGCTGTCCCAGCTGGGCAGAGCTCAGCCCCGGGTCCCGTAGCTCCTCCAGGGGCGCTGCGCACACTGGGCTGTCCACCTGGAAGGAGCCAGCCAGGCAGGGGCCCCGGACCCAGGACCTCCTCGGACAGCCCGGGAGTCACCCAGGAACTGCCCAGTCTCTGACCCTGGGGCCAGGACCCCCGAGTCCCGCACATTTAGTCCAACGCACAGGACCCACGGCCTTTCTTGAGTTTCCCAGACCTGAAGGTGTGGGGGTCGGGGGCGGGAAGGCGAGGTTCATGCCATTTCCGACTCCAGGAACGTGGTGGTGGCACACGCACTTGTATCCTGGGCCAACTGTGAAATAGTTCACTGCTTCCTCCATTCTGCGCCTGGTCCCCCCCGCTAAGTTTCCGCTAACCACGTCACACCTGAATGAATTGGGTCATTAGATATTTCTGCCATTGATCCTCTGCCAAGTACCCAAATAAGAAAAGATTTTATGAGTCTCGTGTCCACCAGATCAGAGGAAGACAGAGACATCCAATCCTGCCGGGAGCAGTAGCACAGGCCTGTAACCCCAGGGACTCGGGAGGCTGAGGTAGGAGGACTGCAAGTTTGAGGCCAGCCTCAGCAAGTTACCAAGATCTCATGTCAAAATAAAAAGGGCTGGAGACGAGACTCAGTGGTAATCCCCAGTACACACACACACACACACACACTCACACACACACACACTCACAGACACACTCACACACACTCACACTCACACACACACTCTCGTCCGCAGTCCTGACCTGGGAGGCTGGTTGCTTTTTCGGAAACCTTCCTGCGGCCTTCCTCCTGCTCCTCTTCCTCAGTCGCAGGCACCTGGGAGAGACAGGCCGCGTCACAGGCCCGTTTCTCTGGATCCCAACATCATCCAGACCCAGTTTGGGCGCCACCTTCTCCAAGACCTGGGCCACCCGGGCTTCCCTTTCCCTGTCTGTGACCTCCCAGGTCCTGGAGGTGTGTCCCCTCCAGCTCCTTCTCTGTGACAGGGTTCCTGGCGTCTCCTGTTTAGGGCAGGGATTCCGCTCCCTCCGCCTCGCTCCCCAGAGTGGGAGGCGCAGCCCCTGCGCCGAGGAGACGCTCCACCCGAAGCAGCAACCGTCCTTACAGCCCGGTGCCAGGGGTCGGGGCCGCTGCCCACTGGGAAGCCTGGCCTGGAACCCTGGCCGCCACGGGCCAGCTGTGTGACCCTGGGCAGATTGCTTAACCCGCCTGGTCTCGGTTCGGCTCCCTCCTAGGGTCAGAGTGAAGCAGGACGGGCCGGTCTCCAGTCGGCCTCGCTCCCCTGGGACCTGCACTGGGGGAGCCCGGGCCCCCAGCTATGGGCTTCCCCTGCAGCGGGTCACAGAGGTGCCCGGACAGTCCGGGAGCCTGGACTCCTTCCCCGCGCTGCCCAGACCCAGGAGTGGCTGAGGCTCCGGGCTTAGCGTTTAGGGGATTGGAGGCTCCGGGGGGAGGCAGCGGTGAGGCTGAGGGAAATTGGATTACCCTAAGACCTGGTTAAGCAGCTTTGGGGAAAGCCTCTTGCAGCCAATTATGACACCAGGAGCCAGGGGAGGGACGGGATGACCTGAACTGTGTCTCAGGCTAAGCAGCTGGGGGTGCCCGAGAGGCTCAAGAGAAAAGAGTGGCCACTGGACTCAGGCGTCTCCGTGCCGGGCGAGGCTGCCCTGGCCCTCCAGCCCCGGGACGGGGAATCACTGTCCCTGCACAGAGACTTGGGGGGGGCAGAAACCGGCTCAGCTGCACTTTGGGAAGAGGCAGGGCTGGGCTTCAAATTCCCTCCGGGGCCAATCCCTGCAAACCACCAGGTGCTGCTGCCCCGACTCTCACAGGAACTGAGCTCACCTCCGCGGAGGGGGACGCAGAGGTCACGGCCGGAACACTCCTGGACTCTGCAGACAGAGGGCAGAGGGAAGGGCTGTCGTTAGTGACCGTGGGCCCTGGAGTGCTGACCGGTGGCTCCAGAAGTAGAATAAAATCGTCACCATGTTATTTAAAAGCGCATAACAGGGGCCGGGCGCGGTGGCCCACGCCTGTCATCCCAGCAGCTCGGGAGGCTGAGGCCGGAGGATCTCAAGTTCAAAGCCAGCCTCAGCAACTTAGCGAGGCCCTAAGCAACTCAGTGAGACCCTGTCTCTAAATAAAAAGCATAAAAAGGCCTGGGGATGTGGCTCGGTGGTTAAGTGCCCCTGGGTTCAATCCCTGGGACAATAAATAAATCAGGAAAAGAGCATAGCAGGACCTGGGATGCAGTTCAGAGGCAGAGAGCTCATCTAGCACGCACAAGGCCCGGGTTCAATCCCAACCACCAACAGCAAAACAAACAAATAAGGGAGCACAATACGGGAAGTAACCAAATATCCAACCCTAAGGGACAAGCTGTACAATTACGATAGAGACGCACAGTGTCATAACTGTGCACAACGCCTACACGTGTCAAAATGTGACATTGTACCCCATCCATAGACCCAACTCTTCTGTCCATTTCAATGGGAACATAATAAGGAGCTGGGTGCAAAGCCAAACTCCCACAATCGCAGTAACTCGGGAAGGGTCAGATGTCGGAGGCCAGCCTCTGCAACTTAGTGAGACCTTGTCTCAAAATACAAAATAAAAAGGGCTGGGGATGTGGTTCCGTGGTAGAGCAGCCCTGGTTCGCTCCCCAGTACAGCAAAAAATAAAATAAGGGAAGAGGATGTGGTCAGCGCTCTCCTAGTGTGTGCAAGGCCCTGTGTGTTTGAGTCCCCAGCACCCCAAGAATATAAAAATAAAAACAGGGAGGCTGAGGCAGGAGGATGGCAAGTCCAAAGCCAGCCTCAGCAACTTAGCAAAGCTCTAAGCAACTCAGGGAGACCCCGTCTCCAAATAGAATGTTGAACAAAGTGCCGCGGACGTGACTTAGTGGTTAAGCACCCCTGGGTTCAATGCACTAAAAATTGAAACATGATAAATAAAACTTCGAAATATATATTTTATAAAAAAAGGTTGATGATATGACATAATGTATGAAAAAATGCAAGACAAGAAAAAAGTCCTATAGTTTGATCAAACCTTGTTTTGTTGTTATTGTTCTTAGAGACACTAGGAAATGAACCCGGGGTGCTTTACCACTGAGCCACACCTCCAGCCCTTTTTAAAAAAATATATATATATATTTTAGTTGTAGGTGGACACAATGCTTTTATTTTATTTTTATGTGGTGCGGGGGATTAAACCCAGTGCCTCCCACGTGCTACCGGAGTGCTCTAACACTGAGTCACAACCCCGGCCCCATCCTGCTCTTTTTTGAGATAGGATCTTGCTAAGTTGCTGAGGCTGGCCTCAAACTTGAGATCCTCCTGCCTCAGCCTCCCCAGTCGCTGGGATTACATGCGTGCACCACCTCGCCCAGCTCTGACTGAAAGTCTCTAAAGAAACACATCTATATTATTATCTATTGTACATTACACTGAATATAACCTATATTCACACACAGAAAAAGACATAAGCACTATCAGCATTTGAACTTCCTTCCGTGCACCTTTTTTCAATAAAAGAGAATCACATGATCAGTGGGTCGCCTTGGCCTGCGTGGCGGAGCCCGGCTGGCGGGAGACAGGAGGTGGACAGGTCCCCCTCCCAAGGCCACCCCGCCCCTGGGAACTGTGTTTCTGGAGAAGTCGCTAATCAAAGTCAGACCCGGACAGGAGGCCAGGCCTGGCGGCAGCGGGCCCCGGGAACCAGGCGCTGGACCTCGGCCAGCCCGGGGTGGGACGCTTTGGATTTCAAAGTATTTTCTTGTCACTTTTCATGGAGGAATCAGAGAACCAGAGAAATGGGGCACACCAGGAAGACAGCCCCCGACCCAGGGGTAGGCAAGGACGGGAGGAGAAGGTGGCCCTGTTTCTGCCCAAGAGAGACTTCCCAGCGTGAGTGTGGCATCTCCAGGAAGGGAACAAATCACACGTCAGCTGCCCTGGAGCCAGTGAAGGAATCTGTCCACTCTCCTCGTTGTACAGAGAGGGAAAGCAACCTGTCTAAGGTCACACAGCAAGTTCGTCCAGAATTGAACCTCAAATTCACGGGAGGGGTCCAGTTTGTTTTGGTGGGAGGGGGGTTCTCACAGCCCAGCCTGATGGAAAACAGACTCCTGGGAGGGAGTGACCGAGGGACCAACAGAGCATGCAGCGGGCGCTGGAATGGAAACTAAAGGCAGGCGTGGGTGGCGCACTAAACAGAGCACACAGCAGCCACAGTCGGCCATTCAGGATGGAGGTGTCCCAGGCCCTGCTCAGCACGCCCCGAACCTCACAGGCCCTTCCTCCACCTACGGCTTCAGGACCTGGCAATGAGACTCAGTCCCCAGGGTTACAAAGATCCCCAAAGCATTATTTGGGGCAGCCTCACTAAGCTGCTGAGGCTGGTCCTGAACTTGCGATCCTCCTGCCTCCGCCTCCCAGGTCTCTGGGATTGCAGGTGTGCGCCCCTGGGCCCAGCTCTAACGAAACTTTCTAAAAAGCTCCCTGCATGACCCTGAAAATAGTGTGACTCAGACTAAGTTGTCCCCTGTGAGGTGTGGGGGGTGGCAATTTGCATCATTATGAATAAAGGTGGAGAAGGTGGCCCTGTTTCTGCCCAAGGACTTCGTGGGGCATCTCGTTATAAATAAAGGCCATTCTGGTCAGGTGCAGCAGCTGCATCCAGCAAGACCCCGTCTCCAAACGAGAAGGGCTGGGGCACAGACAGCTCAGGGGGAGCGCCCTTGGGGTCAACCCCCAGGACCAGAGACAGGCGGTGGCTTCCGTCTGCCCCGTACGCATAGTTCCGAGTTTTCTATATTTTATATTCAAAACAGAACGAACTCATGAGCAAAATGAATGAGTGGACGAAGGGCCTCATTCCAGTGAGACTAACTGGGCGGTCAGCAGGCTGTCCCAAAGGCCTCTACACCAAGCTCAGGGGAGAGCCACAGGAGCCACGGGTGGTGTCTGGGAGGTGACAGTCTTGTGACTTAGAAACGGCATGGAGGACGCACAGTGCT